CATTGGATTTATATATTAATTTAAATACAAACCAATAGATTTAGTATTGGTCACTCACGATAAACCTTGACCTTGGAGACTAGCTATAGTTTTGTGCAGTTGTACGTTATATTTTTTACACATTTTGGGTGAAAATAGTAAAATGCTTATCTGTTTCAATGGGTCGATCGGATGACATGGTTTATAATCATGTGCGATTTTTGGCGCTTGTTTCCAAGTATCCGGAAAACTTATTTTGAGCAGATTTAATATAATCAGTACATGTGGTTAAAAAAAGGCAAGAATTATATATATGATTTCACTTCCAAGCAGGTGTATTTCTCATTCGATCCTTAGTTCATCATATCAACGATTTTCAAATAAATTTCAACAACGTACGAATAATATCGAAAGTGGTTTCATCATCGTAACATTTATTTTCCCGCGGAATATTCACCCGGAGTTTACGGGCGAAGAGAGATGTATTGGAAAGAATACATGGTGACAAAAATCTGCCACAATATGCTACGGAAACACACAACAAATACTCAGGCTAAATGAAAACGATTGATCAGCTGTAAAATATGACGTCTATTTCTTGATGTCTTTGTCAATTTCCGAATTCGGAAAAAATAATCAACTGCAAACACGCGAAGACTGTTAACGACAAGGTCCAGTTGAAACAATCATAGTGAGGTTAAAAGTCCACAGAATGAAAAGTGGTATGACATACCTAATAAAACTCACGAAATCAACACAGACTGTTAGCCAACTTCTTGTTTCAGAGTAACCACATGGATTCGGCGCCAAATCGCATGGTGGAACGTTGTGTGTACTTCTGGAATAAACCACTTTGTCTGATGGGGAGATAGGGAATCCAAGGTCAAAGGGAATTTGTTTAACTCGTATATATTTCTTAACTAGATATACAAATGTGTCTACATTTAATTTAATTTGCGTTAAAATTACTGTTCAAAAATAGTTTTAACATTTGGTTCAAATATAATAACCCACGTCACATGCCCATGTTCAGTGTGGCGAGCTCCGTTCCTGCTGGACAAATAAACGTTTTGATAAAGTTCAAAGGTTGTAGTTGATTGAAAAAAAAAAACACTATTTCTAGATAATTGGGAATTGTATTTACTTCAAAGTTAATTCTCTTAAAACGCCGCAGGAGCATGGGCTGATATCGGTCTTCCCAATTTTAAAAATTGTGAGGGAACTACAGGAAAGTTAGTTTTTGTCTGTGACCTCATTAACATATCAGCTGATTGCGGGCAAATTCAAAATGGCGGAACGGACCGGGTGATACGAAGTGTTTGACCCCCAGACGACACTTTTAAAACCAAAATATTTCGCTAAAAATGCTTTAACCTTGAAACGCCCGAAGAAGCCAGTGGTCGGGAGGGCGTATAAAGATGGAACAAGAAGATTCGCCCTTTTCAAAACCATGTTCTGAGGCCATTGACAGCGAACGCGGAAGTTTAACTGAACAAAGCAGCCGGGAGTTGGGGCCGGATACAGGGGATTTAGCGCTTGAATCGGACGAACTAGTTGTTGCTGATGAAAGTATTTCTTCGGACTTGAAGGAAAATATTTTAACGGTACACACCTCAAACAAATGCAGACGATCGTTGTCTAACTTAGGGTATCCCTTAAGCCCATCGAAACAAGAAAATACACAAAACGTGTGGAACTCCAAAGAAGAGGCCACATTGTTTTCACCTGAACTGACAGAAAAACGTGTTTCGCCGATTGGTCGCCGCGCATCGTTGAAGAGATCAGCGTCATCCCCGGCTAAAGACGAACGGTTTTATCCAAGACTAACGATAGACTCAAAAGAAAATTCTATTATGCATTCATCACCTCATCAATTTAAACTTGGATCACTATCAGTTTGCTATCTGTACAGCGAGGAGTACATTCGACTTTGTAACAAATTGCCGAAAATACCAAACAGAGTAAGACATAATGTCCTATTTTTACAATCTAAGTTCCTGTTAATAAGAATGGTATGGGCATCTGCTCCTGTTGTGTCCCTGTATAATGTAAACAAAAACATGTGTTTTCCATTATTCAGTCACAGTTAACACATGGCAGTACTCCCATGGTGCATCTCATTTTTTGTCAGAACAACTTCCTGTTGTGAAAGAGGTATTTATACTGTAAACTGATTAATTTTTGCTACTACGAAATTTCAGGATTTTTTTTTTTTTTTTTGCATTCGCAAAAACAAAATTCTGCAAAAATCACTTGCTCCCCATTTCATAGACCCCCCCCCCAAATGTTCATTGCTACAAAATTTCATGATTTTTT